ACTCTGATTTCAACAAAAGTCAACTATCTCGCCTCTAGGGCCATTTTCGTCAATTCACTCTTTTAAAATTAATAAAATCCTAAAATTAGGGACGGATCATTACACCCCATGTGGATATTTTTTGTGAATATGGGTTTTTTTTTTTTTTTTTTTTTTTTTTCGTTTTTTGAAATCTTAATGTGAGAAAGACAATTTAGATATTATGTAAGTCCACCCTTTTAGCCTTTTATATATATAGATGAAAAAACTAGAAAAAAATAAAAATGGCAAGTATAATTAATGGGGGAAAAAGTAAAAGTTTTTTTCTCTATTATTGGCAATGAAAATTTAATCAATCAAACACCAAGGTTCCGACTTTAAAATTTGTTTGAAAAAGTTAATATTGAGATGATTATATTATAGGAAAAGAACTTTTACGGGTTTTCATAAGAAACGATTTACACATTAGATTCAATCATAAATTCAAGGTCATAGCTCAAAACTATTATGTGCTATGAGATTTTTTTTTTATATTTTATTTATTTATACTTTTTTGAACAAACGATATTATCTACATTACAAGGGGCTTAGCCTCACAATGGGTTAAAAAAATTTATGGTTAAAATTTGCATTTAATGAGAATCAAACCTAAATCCTATCACTTACAAGTGAAGAAGAATATCATTAAACCGTTAAGTAGTTTTTCTTATCTTTCTTGTAGAGACTTGTTTGTTTTAAAAAATCAAAATGATAGTTTTTTTTTTTGAAACTAATCAAAATGATAGTTGGCATCAGCGAGAATTAAACCAATATTTTGCAAGAACTTTTAAACTCAACTTACCGACCACATGCTCATTAGTATGAGAACTTACAGACAAAATATAAAAAAACAAAAATATTCAGGATGGGCCTAGATCTATCCTACTCTCTATGTGGCTCTAGCACTACATATCAGTAGAAACGCAATACTTATCTATTAGAATATTAGACCACATGTAATATGGAACGTTAGTTGAAGATATATTACAGTTAGGCCAGGTCAAAGTTTCATTTTTCATTGAAGTTGGTTGAAACTCCAGCTCACTACTACTATACATGCGTATGAATCAATTGGAGTAAAAGTATGAATCAACTGGAGCGAAAAATGCATAAGTAATTTAGTGTATGGTAGTAGTCGTAACAGTAGGCATGGTTTTAAACAACTTTAATGAAAAATGTAACTTTTGACTAACTGGCCTAATTGAAATATATCTTCAACTATCGTTAACTCCAACAGCTTACCTGCAGCTTGTTAGGCCATCTAAGCATAGCTTTGTTCAGAATTATAGCCTGCAAAAATTATTTTTAAATAAACAGTGCTATGTTGTATTTATATACCAGTTCTAACTGAAAGGAGCTAAGTTTTAGCCGCTTAATAATTTATTATTTTTAAGTTTGTTATGTAACTTATTAGTTAATTGAATTACATTATCATATTAAAATAAGGTTATTCAGACAGATTTTGAGTGTCACTTGTCGCTAAATGAATAAGCCTCAAGATTTCTTATCTTTATATAATCTCAATAAATTTTCAAATAGGATGGAGATTGTGTTTAAGTTTAATAACTTCCCGAAGTAGTACTAGGATGGAGATTATGTTGTTATTTGTTAAATGTAGTTGAAGTTTCAATAACTTCTCAAAGTAGTACCAGGCTGGAGATTGTGTTGTTATGTGTTAAATATTGTTTAAGTTTCATGCTATTTAAGTTTCAATAACTTCCCGAAATAGTACTAGAATGGAGATTGTGTTCCTTTTTTTTTTTTTTTTTTTTTTTTTTTTTGAAGAAAATATGATATTCATTGATTCAAATTGAAATATGTACGAACAAACATTGAGGATGGGGTGCAAAAAATGGGTCTCAATAAAAACCTTATTGGGAATTTCACCCAATCGAAGGAAAAGAACTTACAATTAATTAATATCCTCAACGAGAAGGTTTAAGATTACATCGGAAGATTCCTCAAACCAAATCACCAAAGAGTGTTGTTTTAAACCCAACGTAGCTAACCATTGCGCTTGATTCTCCAAGATCCTTTTTGTATCATCAAGAATATGACCGAATGGTGAAGAGTCCTTCCCGCCCTTGTGAGAAAGAGCATTAATGCCCAAAAGAGCATCACCTTCAAGTTCCAACAGTGGGAACCGCTGCTGCTGTGCAAAAACAGCAGCTTCCCTTGCTGCCAAAATTTCTCCCAGCAGCGGGGAGACAATCCCAGTCACCTTAGTGGATAAAGCAGCCAAAAACTCGCCCCTATCATTCCGTAATACGACCCCCAATACCTCCAGTCTCCGTACCTTCATCCCAGGCCGCATCAAAGTTGCACTTCACCCAAGCGTGCCGTGGTTGCACCGTAGCAGCCCTTGTAGTTTTTGCTTTGTCGATCCATTTGTGAAATTCCGTCAACCAAGTTTGCAACTTGCAGTGTAATTCCAACGAATTCAAAGCTTTACCTTTCCACAATAGATTATTACACTCTGTCCAAATACCCCAAATAATCGTCATGGCTAAGTCTAAACTCTCCCTAGAAAGAGTCTGTGAAAGCGCAGCAAAGCAACCCAATCTATCAATGGTTGTCGACTATCCCATTTGCTACGTATACCCAAAGGAACCACTGCTTTACAATCCCTTAATGGGCGGTTGATCTTTCAATGTCCGCATCATAAAACAAACAAGTTGGCGCCAAAGCCATTTTTTTTTCCAAAGGTTATCTCTTGTTGGCAGAACATTCAAGCAACATCTCCAGACGCAAATTTTAACCTTCCCTGGCACAGTGGCCCTCCATATCGCTTTCCAAAGGAATTTCACATCCCCAATCAACATCGATCCACTAGCCTCATTCCCATTTACCTCGCCACAAGCCCAAGCCAGATGGTAGGTGTTCCTCGTTAGGGATGTGTTCAAAAAATCAAAAATCGAAAACAAAGGGACCAAACACAGAACTAAAACCAAAAAACCGAAAACCAAAAAAATTTGAACCGAAAAAGAAAAAACCGAACCGAACCGAACTTTATTGGTTCGGTTTCAGTTTTACAAATTCGTAAACCAAACCAAACCAAACCGAATCCCTTTACACTTTATGAATGTATGCCCGTTATGTTTCTTTTGTGAAACTTTGTTGCGAAGTTTGAAACTAACTAGGAATTTTTTAAGAAGTATACTTGGTTCAATTAGGGAGGATATGTCATTGGTTATGGAAGAAAGTTTTGGAAGCCTTAGAACTTGGAAGAGCTTTTCTAGTTGTTTGCTTTTGGAATGGATATATTGATCATTTTTCTTTGCAATTGAGGTTGTTTATAGAAATAGGATTGGTTTATATGATTTTGTATATGTACAACTACCTTCTCACTTTTCTCATTTTCTTATTATTAGTACCACAACTTTTCTTTAAGGTAAGCAAAAGCTTGTTTCTTTGCCTTTCCCACAAAAACAGGTAGTCCCAGATAGCGGTTGTGATTACTGACCCTAGCCATCCCCAAATAATCTGCTAGTTGTTGACCGTCGTATTCCGTGAGATTACCACTAAATGCGACACATCATTTCAACAAAATAATAACTTGACCTGAAGCTTCTTCATATGTTTTAAGTAGAAGTTTTACTCGAGAACACTCCTAAAGTGTGCCACGAGCAAAAATAAAATTGTCATCCGCAAAAAGTAGGTGGTGTACACTCGGCGCACTCTTTACAAACCTTAACCCCTCTGATTCTTCCTTGCCTTCCCACACATCAAACAAAAACTGATAGGCCTTCCGCACATATGACAAACAGAAACGGTGATAGAGGATCCCCTTGCCGGATTCCTCTTTTCGGAAGCACATATCCCACAGGCTCCCTATTATTTGTTAAATGTTGTTTAAGTTTCATGTTATTTAAGTTTCAATAACTCCCCGAAGTAGTACTAGGGTGGAAATTGTGTTGTTATTTGTTAAATGTTGTTTAAGTTTCAAGAATTAAAATAAAATGAGGTAAGATAGTATGAAAGGGGGAAAAGATGTGAGAAATAGCATAGAAATGGCTTAGGTATTTATAGAAAATAAAAATTAGAATTAAATTTTTTTTTTTCAAATTTCATCCTTAAAAAATTAAATAAATAAAAAATCCAACGGCTACATAACGTTAGCTGACATTATGTGTTCGTTGGCTATTGATAGACTGAGCCCCCCAAACAGGTTGGTTGGCTGGCTAACAATGCCCAGCACAATGGCCTAAGGGCTGAAAAACGGCCTGGTGGGTCCCTTTTTTTTTTTGGCCCAACCCTTTATTGGAGTTAGGTTTTTAAGCATTTCGGGCTGAAATTTGACCTATAGCCCTATAGCTATCTACATAGGAGATGGCTTTAGTTGTATATGGATACTCCCACTAACTTATTACTTTCATTTAATTTTTAATATCAAAATAGGTGGAAAGTTCGAATTCCTTCTCTAATGAGAGCAGCTTCTATACAATGGATCCATCACCATATCACCTCTCCATCTAATAATACATTATTATGTGAAGAAAAACTTGCACATATATAGGATTTAGGGATAGGGGATGCCATAGACGTTCACGTTTTTTGTCTAGGTGGAAGATGACTGCAGCTTGCCAGCAAGGCTTACCACACATATAAGGTTTGGGAATAGAGGACACTATATGGCAGTGAACATGTTTCATGTAAGTACTCCTCCCCAATCCACCTAATAAAAAGAATTCCTTAAATTACATTTGGAGTAAGTTGTAATTTACGTGATGGTCCACTGCTTTCTTACACCTGTAGTCCTCCTCCTATGCCCATTTAAAACAAGTCTACTGCTCTTGCTCCTCTTTGGAAAAGATCATAACATCATCGATCACAAGACAGAGAAAGAGAAGAGAGAGCGAGAGAGAGAGAGGAGGGGAGAGAGAGAGAGAAGCCAAGAGAAAGCTCTAATGGTTGTAGTACCAACTCTTTCAGTATTCATCCTCCTCAACCTTGCCACAGCCGCCGCCGCAGACTCTCCTGCATGCAACCCCACATGTGGCTCCCTGCAACTCAAATACCCTTTTGGCACAGGCCCTGGTTGTGGCTCCCCAATTTTCCAATCCTACATAACCTGTACATTTACCAATAATCAGCAGCTCCTCCTCCTCACCACCCACACTGGCTTATACCCTATCACTTCAATTTCCTACTCCACCCAAACCATAACCCTAACCCCACCCTCCATGTTCAACTGCACCTCCATGCAACCCTCCCTCTCCAACTTCGGCCTTGACTGGGCCTCCCCATTTCAGCTCGGTCCATCAACCTTCATCCTCTTGTCCTGCCAGCCCCCCACCTCTTCCCTCACCCTCAAACCCTCCGGCATGCCCGTCTGTGATCCCTGCTACTCTCACCTCTGTGCTTCTATCTACACATGTCCATCCGTGGTTGGTCTTGGCATCCCCTTGTTCCCTCCCACAAACACGTGCTGCGTGTATTCACCTGGGAATCTTGATGCTGAGGGTGAGTTGGACCTCCACGGGTTAAGGTGCACGTTTACATCCGTTGTGTCGCTCGGAGACTACCCGACAGACCCAGTGCAGTGGGAGTATGGGGTGGCGTTGAAGTACAGTCACGGTGGTTTGGACAGTGGCATTGTCGATGCAAAGTGCAAGAGCTGTGAGATGAGCGATGGGGTTTGTGGGTACAGGGTTGATGATCATGATCAGTTCGTTTGTGTGTGTAAGAATGGCTACAACACCTCCTCCGATTGCCTTAATAATTACACTCCAGATTCGAAGCCCCTTTGGGGCTCCGGCGCGTCTGATGATTTACCAGTTGCTAATTGTAAGTTGTTCTTCAATGTTAATTTTTTTTTTTTTTTTTTTTAAGTAAATCGATGATATATAATGAAAATGATTGCAGCCTTAAGGAAGAAAATTTGATCCAATTCATAGAGATTAGGCAAGAGCTAGACTACACCTAAAACATTTTAAATAATTGTGGTAATTGTTTTTAAATGTTGATGCTAATTTGTCGTCATAAAGTGTGGTTTCATGGTGCGTGAAGTGCGCACCCGATGCCTTTGAGCTTCACTGGAAAGTGTGTATTCCAGTTTTGCAAAACTTTGAATGTTTGCAACCGATGGGTGTGTTCGGGGAATGAAGTCAGGTTTATTGCGTGTGCAAAAGAGAGAGAACTTAAGCGTTAAGGCGCAATAGAAGTTGTCATTTTGTACTACCGTCTAGTAATATTCTTTTTTATTTGTAAGTAAGAGAATTTAAGTTCGATTCTCGTGAAAGGAAAATTTAAATCACATTATTATGGCTAGTCCAGGATGAGACTTAGATCTCACCCTCTTAGCGTAGATAATATCATTTATTCAAAAAAATAAAATGGAGAAAATGGAAGTTACAAAAATTTTCAAATGGGAAAATAAATCTAGTTATTGTCACTAGTCATTAGAGACTTCCTCTTCAATGCACTGCATAAAGAATTCAAATTATTCTCCCCTTTCTAACATAATTTAGAATAAAAATATCGTTTGTATGTAAAAAACCAAAAAAAAAACCTATAGCTGATTCAGTCGTCATCTCTTCAAATTTGCAGGGAAAATAAGGTCTGCGCTCGTGGCTGGCCTGATGATAATGGCTTGAGAGAGAGAGAGAGGGATCTATGTAAGTTGTAATAAGATTTAGAAAAAAACTTAAGCTTTCTTACCGAAATTGAGATTTGATTTGTTTGGAAGGGATTATTTTTTTTTAAATCTCAATTGCTAAAACCATTAGTTTTATTTACTAGGATAATGTTTGTGTTCTCCCAATATTGGGAACCTATTTGTCTCCAATTATAATTACCGTATTTTCGCAGTATGAAATTTATAATCAGAACTTTTAATCTCTTTATTATTATCTAAAGATCATATATGTAAAAAATATTCAATTTAAAGATCGTGTAGTCATTCATATATATTAAAGAAATGGACGATTCATCAAGAAGAAGATACTTGCTACCAAAACCATCGATTGGTTTGGCACGCGTGGATGGTTAAATGAGTTTTTGCAGATATGATCTTTAGATGATGATGAAGAGTATGAACGATTCCGATTATGAAGTTCGTATAGTGAATATACGTTAATCATAAGTGCAAGGACATGTAGGTTCCTCTATGAGTGGTTAATTTGATCTATTAAACAATTGAAAATTGATTTCTAATCTTTTTAGCCAGTTTCCCGTAACAGAAAAACAATGAAATTGACAAAAAAGTACTGCCTCTCTTGACAACCCCGTTCTCTTAGACCCCATGGTTCAAAAAAAATTATGATCACCCACCATTCAATCTTAATTGTGCTCAATATTCCCTCATCCAATCCAACTTTGACATATATATGGAGAAATAATTTATCAACAATACAAAATGAAAAGTTTTTGTAAAAGTGTCAAGTTGTAATTAACAGGTAAATGAAAATAGCTACTTCAAAGGAATAAGGATAGAGCCAAGTATTTTTCGTTGTCAAATGGAAAAAGAGCAGGAATAAATGTGAGCAACATATCAGCAGGCATCTTCTGCGCATATATGTACTACATAGGAAATGCGTTGCTCCACTTGAAAGTTGGGCTGTGGGAGAAACCTTAAGCATCTGAATTCCGCACTAATGGTGGTAGGAAACTTGCATGGCCTTATAAATATGTTGGGTTATCATCTATATTGCCAACTAATTTTGTAGTGGAATTCTAACTTTTTTTATGGTATTCAAGCAAGTTGTCTCATGTGTCAACCCAAAGGCCACACGTGCTCTACATCATCCTATTCGTGTTGTCCACATGTTAGGCTTGAAAATTCGCCATAAGTGAAGAGATTTGTTGAGATTGAATCTCACATTGATGGGAGGACAGACCTTAACAGGCTTATAAATCCCAACCCATATTGCCAATTGGTTTTATGTGGAACCCCAACTTCTCTCATGGTATCAGAGCAGGTTGTCCCATATGTCAAGCTCAACAGCCACATGTGTTTCACGGCACCCCATTCATGTTGTCCATGTGTTTGCCTTAAAAATTCGTCACACGTGAGGGAGCGTGTTGAGATTGAATCCCTTGCATGGACTTATAAGTAAGTGAAGCTACTCTCCATATTGCCAATTAATTTTGTAGCCACAATTAACCATTTTTGTAAATTAGTTAGAACGAATTATGTGGATGTAAATTTCTTCCTCCTTGATCTTGGACAAAATTGCACCTACAAAACAAATAACACCTTAGGTCAAGGCCAAGAGCCTCATGCGCCCATGATGGGAGGGCTTTGGCAGAAGAACCTCTGATGCCAAAGTTCGAACTTTGAGGGAAAGGTGTTTAGAGAATTTGGAGAATTTTGCAAGAGTGTAGAACTTAGCTTTTTAGAGAAAATGGGGTAGTATTTATAGGGCATGGCTGGCCCCTTTGGAGAGATGGTGACCGGCCCTTTGTGGCACTTTTGGGTGTAATTTGTAGTTAATTAGCCAATTAATAGATTAATTAGGTAATAAATCAATTAATTAGCTCATTAATATAATTTGAAAGGAATGTTTTGGGGGTTATCTTGTGGAGAAGATTTGATGAAGATGGATGAAATAGGTTTTGAATAAATACCTATTTTGGGCACTTTTGACTTAATTGAGGGATGATTGTCATTTTTACCTTAAAATCCACGTGTCGCCTTCATAATTTTCTTGATTATTTTTTGCTCCACAAATTCGAACTTTAGATCTAAGGACCTACAATATCATCAGTATGCATAAAACTAGCCCACGGAGGAGAGGAGGCTATCAACATGAATACAGAGATCAAATCCAAATTATAGCTCCGTAAATGTCAAATTTTAAACATAAGAGATTACAAATTTCCAACGTGAAGATTAATTTAGAAGCACTATCAACAAGAAAAAAAATGTTCCCATAGAAAAAAGGCCACGTAAAAGAAACACTTAATAAGACTTATTCGGGAATCAATAATTCGAATTTTAGTCAAAAAAAACTACAATAATGACACGTAATTTAAATAAACAAAACAAATGTTAATATGGTTAATGGTCAAAGCACCTTAATTATATGTTAAACAAGAATAAATGCTTCTTTTTTTTTTTGGGTCAAACCATAGATTGGTTAGATTAGATGTTAAATAAGGGAGTCAAAGCGAGATTCAAACCTATACCGTGGTTCAAGGGTAGCACTATTTTCTATCACTGTGATAGAGGACCATTTGCGAAAGTAACAAATGTTTGATCCATTAAAAAATTCCTGGGGATTCTAAAAACTTCTATTCTTTAATTTCCCTCTCAGTGTGTCTGATCTCCAGTGAGAAAACAATTTTGAAGACCTTGAATGCTGATCAAACGGGAAGCAAAAAGATGGCACAATACAAACCAGCATCACCCTGATGTAACAAATAAATAGCAGTAACATAATACAATTCAACTATAAGGTTCTGAGTATCTTTGTCAACAGAAAGCTTAAGGCCAAAGTACAACACAAAAGTTAGATTTCATATTTATATTGAGACGAGAAGTATTGGCTTTTAGGTTTTGGTCCAATTGAAGTCTTGATCTCTGAATTAAAAATATGTAAGTATTGGTCGTTCATGAATTCGTTGTAAGAGTATGAACATGAGATTGGGTATTTTGGCATTGGCTGTTTAAGTTCAATTGGTATAAGAAGGCCTTATAAGAAGATGTATACTAATTCTTGTTGATAAAGGATTTTGTTGTAGCATTATACCGATATGTGTTAGAAAACATAAGTTGTTTTCTATGAGGATTCTAATAGGGAATCCTTGTTTTGTTATGAGAAGGTGATATATATGTGTGTGTAGATAATCTGACAAAAAGGAGAAGAATTGCAGTGCACTAAGTTTTGGTTTGCAGCATTCATGGCAGGTGCAGGTTCTTTAGGTCAGGGTATCGCACCACTCTTATATGCCAAGGTTTTGTGTTTTCTTGATTGTGATTCTAGCAACTTAATCGAGTTCATGAATTTATGTTTACCATGTGGTATCAGAGTCATAGGTTTAAGTTCTTAAATTCAATTGGCAAAATCAATTGAATCATATATTAAAAATATAATTAAAAAAGGAGGAAAATTGTTGTCATCAAGTTTCGAAACTGGTTTAAGTTTTGCCTAAATAGCTAGGTTTTTCACAAAAACGATGCGATTTAATAAAATAAGTTTATTTAAAAATTTGATCATTACAACTCGAAGTCTGTGGAGCTAAAAATAATTAAGAAGATTGTAGAGGGAACATGTGAACTTTTGGGTTAAAAGACAAAATTACCCTTGAGACACATCGGGATTCCCACTCTCATGAAATTGACAATAATGGCTCAATCAAGGTCAAAGGTGATCAAAATGGTATTTATTCAAAACCCTCTCGTTACTCCACTTCAAATCTTCACCTACAAGGTAACTCCCAATTATTCTTTTCAAATTGGGATTAATTACCAATATAATTGCAAGATATTATTTGACATAATATCTTGCAATAATATTCAAAACACCACCATAAGGGGCCGATCCCTATTTCTCCAAAGAGGGCCAGCCACACCCCTATATATAGCTCCATATTTCTCCAAAAACCTAAGTTCATTATTTCCATAAAATTCTCTAAACAATTTGTCTCTCAAATTCTAACTTTGGCATCGGAGATTCTTTGGTCAAAGCCCCCCCAACCAAATTCATCGTGGGCGTATAAGGCTCTTGGCCTTGATCTTAAGTGTTATTATTTTGCCGGTGAATTTTCGTCAAAGGAGAAGACGGCGGAAATTTGCATCCAAAAATTGGTGCTTTCGTTGAGAGTCTTGATTCCAATGCTTGTAAAAGACTCTCACATTCAATGTTTCTAATTTTTCATTCATCTGTAGATTTTCCCACATGTTCCAATTCTTAGAATTTTTTTTATAAATTCTTTGAAATAGCCCTAGGGAAGAAATATGATGGCGAATAATTTTGGAACCACGACGAACGGTACTCTTTACGGATTTTCACCCACGAAGGACCGATGAATGGAGGAATGTCAGCCACCATCGCTGCCAAAAACGGCCCACATGGAGGCAGTGTGCACCAGCAAGCCTCCTAAGCCATTTCTATCCATGCAGCCCTTGTTGCCCAATCAGAATCCCAAGATTATGAGGCCCACGAAGATCCATGATGCGGCTCAAGCCGCAACACACGACTAAGCCAAAGCCGGCCTCCAGCTCACATTTAGAAGCCCAAAGCGCGCGAGTCCAAGATGCAATTGCAACGGCAACGGGCCCAAGCCCCAATGCACAAGCCTCATCCGTGCGAGCCCAGTTCAAGTCCTCCAAAAAGCCCATTCAGTGAGAGCCATGCTTCAGCGCATCAGTACCTCCCATGCACAACCCCAGCACACTGTCCCAGCTTGCAGCCACGTAGGCCAGGCCACATAGCCCAATCCAGCAACGCCCAATTGGATATCCAAGGAGGCAGGCCCTAGCCCAGTCAACACGGGTCAAGTTGACCTAGATCCGTGTCCACATGCCCATGACCCAGATATGTGACTCCAAGCGCCTATTTTTGGCTATTTTGAACCATCTTTTGACGTTTCGAACACTTTTTCGATGTTTCGGACCAATTTTTTGGTGTTTTTATGCAAATTTGGTTCATTGAAGTTTAAAAATCTCGCACCTATAGTCCATTACACTTCCACTACTTAAGGAGACTCATACAGTCCAAGCTCTTCCAACCCAAATGACGAACCTCTCCAGCAGCGTCCTGGCAAGCAACCCCTCGACCAGTCATGAACTGAGCGTTTAGGCAGTGTACATTCCCGATTGGGCCCCCGAGATAGTGTATACTCTCATCGTAGCATGCGGAAGAGTGTGCATTCTCGGTCAGGCCCACGAACGAGCATACATTCACAGTTGGGGCCACA